AATTAAAATCCAATTGCTACAATCTTGGTCAATTATATTATAATCGAACTCGGTTTAGTCCCATTAAAGTCCAATTAGTACAATATCGGTCAATTATATTATAACCGAACTCAAATTAGTCCAATTGAAGTTAAATTATACAATCTCGGCCAATTATATTATAATCGACCTCGAATTAGTCCAATTGAAGTCAAATTAATACAATCTCGGCCAATTATATTATTATTGAACTCGAATTAGTCCAATTGTAGTCCAATTAGTACAATCTCGGTCAATTATATTATAATCGAACTCGAATTAGTCCAATTGAAGTCAAATTAATACAATCTCGGCCAATTATATTATTATCGAACTCGAATTAGTCCAATTGTAGTCCAATTAGTACAATCTCGGCCAATTATATTATAATCGAACTTGAATTAGTCCAATTGAAGTCCAATTAGTACAATCTCGGCCAATTATATTATAATCAAACTCGAATTAGTCCAATTGAAGTCAAATTAGTACAATCTCGGTCAATTGTAGTGTAATCGAACTTGAATAAGTCCAATTGAAGTCAAATTATACAATCTCGGCCAATTATATTATAATCGAACTCGAATTAGTCTAATTGAAGTCAAATTAATACAATCTCGGCCAATTATATTATTATCGAACTCGAATTAGTCCAATTGTAGTCCAATTAGTACAATCTTGGCCAATTATATTATAACCGAACTTGATATAGGATATTATACTGGAGCAGGTTGATTGTTGATTCTGGTGTATCGAAATTGTTTCGTCCGTCTGGCGAATTAGTACTAATTCGAGTTCGATTGTACTAATTCGAGTTCGATTACACTATAATTGACCGGTATTGTACTAATTCGAGTTTAATTCTACTAATTTGAGTTCAATTGCACTAATTTGACTTCAATTAGACTAATTCGAGTTCGATCACTATAATTGACCGATATTGTACTAATTTGAGTTCAATTGAACTAATTCGAGTTCGATTACACTATAATTGACTTAGATTGTACTAATTTGACTTTAATTGTACTAATTTAACTTCAATCGGACTAAAGTCAAATTAGTATAATTGAAATCAAATTAGTATAATTGAAGTCAAATTAGTACAGTTGAACTCGAATTATTCCAATTGAACTCGAATTAATCCAATTGAGCTCGAATTAGTACGATTGAACTCGAATTAGTAAAATTGAAGTCAAATTAGTACAATCTCGGTCAATTACAGTGTAATCGATCTCAAATTAGTACAATTGAAGTCAAATTAGTACTAATTCGACTTCAATTGTACTAATTTGAGT